CCCGTTGTGACGAAAGCAGAGCTCGGTCTGAAAACTAAGCTCTCAATATTCAAGTCGATCTTTATCCCCAGGCTTACCTACCGTCATGAGTCATGGACCATCACTGAAAAACCTCGAACCCGGGTGCAAGCTGCTGAAATAGGCTTTTTGAGAAGAGCTCTGGTCCTACGCATCTGTAATACATACTTCTCCGAGATCCTTGGTGTGCAGCCACTGCTTTTTCAGATTTAGAAGTCATATTTTGGATGGTTTGGGCGTGTGTTACGAATGCCTCCAGAAGGGGATGCGAAGCTACTATTTCTTTTCTAGCCGCCCGACAGAATGCCTAGGGAAGAGCCAATATTAATTTTGTGAAAATATACTGTAGGAATTTGCTCGGGACGCCAGTTGTCTGCTGCCAAAGCTCATAGACTGGCACAGAATCGGGAGCATTGGAAGCACCGTCTGACCCTTTTGCCTCCATTACCCGAAAAGAGCAGCGCTCGTGGAAGACGAAGATAAAATAAGGTTGACAAATGGCTTTCAAGAATAGGCAGATCCTATGAACTAAGTAATGTTAATAATAATCGTAAAGCATTATTATGAACTGTGACGCTTTCTTTGAGTTATTCTGTGGCAATAAATGCTTTCACATTATATACTGTTTGTAGTACACATATGTGGTCCAATTTAGTATATTATTAGTGAATCTACGACGGTAGAGTCAGATTCAAGGAGCAGAAAGTCCCTTCCCTTTATGGGCACCAGTGAGTCAATCTTAGTTTTCAGAATTGTCTCCGTTTCTCTCTGGTTACGTTTTTCCTGTGCAAACGTTACCAGAATGTAGTGTGTCGCGTGACGAAACGTATAAATTACTGCTCAAAATATTTTAATCCAGGTTAAAAAACGAATCGAGTATTGCGTTTGTTTCTGGACAGTAATAAGGAGACACGTATGGGCCAGATCGTTCTGGGAAATTATGAAACATCATATAACTTGCCGAGATGTCTTGCTCAAGCTACAGACCACGTCAATAATGACCGTATAGTCGTATAAGCTTATGTATCAGGAAACAAAAACAATTTTGTTTTATAATTTATTCATATAATTATTCTAAATGCGTTGGTATTAAATGATGGCTACACCTGCATTATTTTAATTTTAGGAAATTCGAAACTTCCAATATACCGATTACATTACCGTGGAAGCACTTTTCTCGTGATCCTCCGCTTCATCAGCTGTGAGTAATATTATAAGATATATTTTATTTTATGTTACTTCAGCGTATGTTCTTAAGTCAAATGTTCATGTAGCAAATTTCAGGGCATATTGTTCATCCATGAATGCCATTTCACCGCCGTCATTGCCTCAGAGCGCTGCATATTAGGCTATTCACAGAGTCAGGTCTGCTGTGGTGTTCACACAAGATCCGTGGGCTAGACTTGAAGACACCACAATGTGCTTGATCAGTAAGGATCTAGGCCTACCCCTTTATCGTTTCTGATATGGTCTTGCGGAAAGGTTTTCTTCGACATCGGAACCACGCATATATGGAAGTGTGATAACTAAATTTAGAGAAAAATGGCCGAACCATAAATAAGAATACTTCGAGGGTACTCTGTATTGGTCAGAATTTTGTCGAACCTTGTCACGTCAAAAGCTCCTGGAAAATATTTCATTTTTTCCGCTTGTACCAATGATTACAGACTTCGATACGATCAATGATTGGCACTCATAACCATAGACAACGTAAGTGCGTAGGCGAACCTGCAAACAGACACATTTTCACTAGACCTCAGCTTGTTTTTCATCGTCACCGATCGATGAATCGCCTGACTAATCCGTTCGTTTTTTCAAAGTCTTGCCTATTATTACTTGTAATTACTATCCAGCGGCCTTCAACTTTTCTACCTGCTTTAGCTGTACTCTCATTACTTGTAGAGTACAGCGTATGACCTTCTTCCAAAGTGCAGTAGTCTCTGGACTCAAGCTCGATTTAGCCCGGACTTCACTGGAAGTCGTTGCATACTGATCAGTATGCGTTGTTCATTAGTGTGAGTGAACGCTATTATAATACGAGATCGTCTGCACCACTGGAACATGCTAATTATGTATGGGTTGCATCAGCTGATTCGATGCATTAGAAGTATCAGAAGGCGAGGAGTCAGTGCACCAAATAACGCAGTTCAATACGCACTGCATAAAGCATAAATGTTCTAACTCTAATCTGTGAAAAGATCCATGGATAGTTGAATAAGCATTTGATACCATCACCATTATTACCACGCTTTCAGTGGCTTTTACCAAACATCCTGCTCTAAGCCTGTTCTGAGTGTGTGAAGCAGGTATAACCTCCTTTCACCATCTGCTACTATCAACTTATATTCGTACCACAGAGTACATCAACTAACTCTAACTCTTCCGAGGCTGATTTCGCGCGTGTTGCCTTGTCCCCTTGTTCTTAGATCCACAGACTGTGTATGGGAAGGAAATTTGAGCAGGCGACAGTTTTATGGCATTTGAGTACCTGCAATGCCAGATGCATCTCGCATCATTTTATTCACTGAAGCCACATTGCCCTAATTGCAAACGAGGCTTCAGGACCTGCTATTCTTTCCTTCTATGCTACCGCATAAATATCAATACATGTTCGTACATCAGAGTTTGTCAAGTAACGCATGTCCTTTGTGAGACCAGACTTCAAGGGTGGTATTATATACCGTGACATATCTGACACAGTTTTATTGAATAATTCGATACTATTTATTGTTTGCCATTGGATCGGAAAGCCAGAAATTCTTATTAGCAATATTAAAAGGGAAACAGAGAAATAATGTACTAACAAGATCAAGTCGTGAGAGTGAAAGAGAAAGAAAGCAAAAAGGTACTAAGATGTCAGGCAAATATGCAAAAGGATACAATGGCTTCAAATGCTAGCCGATGGGTAGCCTCATGTCGATCACCGAGACATCAGTCTACCGGAAGAACTGTCTTTTTATGTCACTCCGTCTCCCTCATTCATCCTCAAGGACCAATCAGCATTGATCAGCACCCATGAAACAGTTTTGTCCTAAGCGCTGCTGATAAAGGTATTCGGTCGTATTAGCAATCGGCACCACCCTCCAGTGGTCTGCATCGGCTCATTCTGTTATTTCCATCCGGCTCCAGCCAATCATAGCTGGCTGATATCAGATGACATGTTATACGTGTGATGATAAGAGCAATAAATATCAAAATTGCCGCAATGAAATAGTCAGGTGATGGCTGCTAATCAGCTGTTTAGTTTTTTGTTCGATGTCAACCTCAGCTGCTCGTGCGACAACATGTGGCTAGCGTTCGACAGCAAACTCTCGGAGTCGATAACTTCTTCAGTGCGTACGACCGACAACATGAAGATACCGCTGCTCTTCTTCCTCGACTACGAGCAAACGTGCACTTCTGACTGTCCGTACACGACGAGAGACGTTTATTCTCTGCCTCATGACGTGTTCGTGTCGACGAAGGCGTTTCACCACTGCCTCACTAGCGGGCGGTACACAGATCAAGCGGTACAGCGGTACTTCAAGGATAAATGCGGTAAGAGGAAGACCAGTTTGCTACTTAGTCCAATTTTAAAACGCGGTTATTCAGAAAAATATTTATATGCAAATTTCAGCATGAGTATATGAGTTTTTCAATTACTTCAATCGATATTGTACAGAAAATTCATTTTTTCCCAGTGTACCGCCTGATTACTACATGCCTGATAAAAATCTGGGATATCAGACAAGCAGGAAATTGGAGTGCGTTGTTTCTCCCTTACTAACGATAGGACGTTCCGGCACATGCTAACCGTTGTCGCTAACAATACATCGATACTCTGGGGGGGGAGGATGGACATTTATCAGGGATGTAAGACAACTTGTTGCGGTAAATCTGTTGCTTAATAAACTCGCTTCACTCATGTTCAATTTCTAGCAGATTAGGAACATTACTTAATTAAATCTGAAAGTTAACCTGTACTCATTCTCTACGCTTGCAGAAAATAAATACAAATGATTCAGGTGCCTCTGACCTACCAATTACTTAACATAAACTTTTTTGTTGTTTCTAATGAGGAACAGTTTTGGCAGGGTGCACTTCAGAGTTCAACGATAGCGGATACTTCCTAGATAAGAATGTGCCAAGAAGCATGGCATGGAGTTAACCATTAGCGCGAATAATGATCAATGCCCAAAAATATGAAAAACGAACTTCTAGGGTATGGAACGCTCAGACTCAGTCCGAACCAGTTGGTGATGGACCACATGCACGCGGATTCTGCCGTAGTTTGCTCGAGAGAAGATCTGGTCAAAGGTGCTGAACACAACGCAAATAATTTTTGTCCTGATTTCGAAGTTACCAACGTTC